TCTTTTTTCCTTCTGTAAATACTCCAACGGAAATACTCCAAATTCTGCATCGAATCCGTTCACGACCAGCGTGTTACCTCGTGGAATGAGTATTCCGCATTCTGAAACCCAATAATAAAATAAATTAGAACAAAAAAAAAAAATAGAACAAACGATATTAAATGAAAAAGAATTTATGAAACGTGTAATTCTACATAATGGTATAAACGATTGTTCTGATTACTTCTATATTTAAAAAAATTTTAATATATCTAAAAAAGAAAAATATCTATTTCTTTGCAAATTTTAATTTATTCGAGAGAAGAAATTGTTGGAAATAAAAAATATTTGAGAGATGTTCATATATTTAATAATATCCAAGCAAATTTTAAAATTTATATTTTTAATAATTAGTTTTTGTTTAAATTAAAAAAATAAAGTATGTAAAAATCGATATTATCTGGAAGAAATTGGAAGAAACGATGGTCCCATGATCCATCTTCGAGACAAGTGATTGCACGAAATGCTGGATCACCCGTCACAGCCAATTTGTAAGACGATTTGCACGACAAATTCGCTATCGTTCCAGGTTTCATTCGATTGGATCAAGATGCATTGTTCCCTTGCATAAATAAAATATTCACAGTAATGTTGTTTAATGGATCGCGTGTTTTCTGTTTTATGAATGAAAAATACGAAAAAAGCATCATTATATATTAGCATCAATATAATATAACTGGAAATATTTAAAATTTTATTAATTACAGTCAAATATTAATATTGGATTATTCATATATAGGGAGAGCACAAAAATTGAACGAATAATCCAAATAATATATCGAGGGATATAATAATTAATCAATTAATTCATGAAATACTAGTGAATTATATATATTTAATCCTGTTTAATTAATTACATTTTAATTTCGATGAAGCGAACAAATATTACCGAATTTAAAATCAATTTTACGAAAATCTATGCTATTATTTGAGTCAGAAATTATTGGTAAACGGTAGAATCGGTATATATTCGATATTGTATATTGAATTGATCGATCCCATTTGTATTGTAATACATTTCATTAAATGAATTTCTCTGTATTTCATAAAAAATTCAGCTTCAATAAATGAATTCGATATTCGTGAAGAAATACACATTATTAAATAAATTATATATCGTCAAGTAATCTTTAATCCTCTATACAAATATATTTACGTATTTTTAATTCTTTAGATTTAAATCATTCCATCTCACAGGCCAATTTATATTTCTGCATTAAATCTTTAATTAATTTCTGTTAAATCTTGATTTAACGAAAGACAAATTACTTTTGCGTGCATATAGTTTATAATTGCTCAAAAATACTTGCACGAAAACATGCAATTGTTACATATATATATATATATATATATATACAAAATAAATAACGCGTGACGATTCGAAAAATTGTAGCCAAACCAAATTATTTCTTAGAAAATAATAAAGAAATAGATGATTTCTCAATTCTTCCTTTATCAATTATAGAACGAAAGGAAAAATTCCTCGTTGAATAAAAATAAATTATTGATCAAAGAATTATATCCACATTCTTTTTTACTTAAGTTTTTAAGCACAAATCTTCTCGAAAAAGGTAACTTGGAAAATGTTTAATTATTTTTTCTTTTTTTCAACAATTGAAGGATCGTCGATTCAAACATTTATCCACTCGCATACCAATTTTTCATTGATCTAATTAAATTTACAACAACAACAATGAACTCACCTGAGACACCTATCGCGTACCATTTCATCATCGAAATGGCAAACGCCAGTTCCGTTCAAAACGTAATTTTCCCGACAGGTGTAAGTCAGAATACTGCTGTTTCTAGAAACTTTATCCCCGTGACGCTTGGAGCAAGGTTCACCACAACCATCCAGTTTGTAACTTCCACCTTCAGGCTGCTCGCAGGAAGGACGCAGCCGTTTTCCGGTCCCCTACGATGTCCGGCCACGAATAATTAACGGTGTCGTAATTAAACGAGCGCAAATAAGAGAATAATTGAATTCGTTACGGTCGGTGATTGTTTCCTTAAACGTTTTCTTACTTAAGTTTCGCAATTGCCTCGTTTTCCACCTCGTGATTTTTTTCCATACCTCGAGGGTATTTCACGAAGGGATCTCGCGTAATATATTTTTTCTCTCTCTCTCTCTTTCTCTCTTTTCTTTTCCTTTCGTTAAATATTTTCTTCTTCTACGATTTCTCGCGTGTATATTTTTGCGTTGAATTAACTTACTTTTTTCACAGTCGTACTCGTCGTCACTCGAAACATCGCTACAATCGAATTTATCGTCGCACCTCTTCGTCTCCGGTAAACATTTTCTGTTTCCACGACGGAAAACTTGGTTTTTTCCTGTTTTCTCTTCTTCTTCTTTTTTTTTTTTTTTTTTGAAATGACAACAAACGTTGATTACGTGTTTGAAGACATGTGCGTAATATTGATGTTTCGTCTCGAGCAAGGGAACCTTGTGGAAAGGTTTGAACAATTTTGTTGGAAAAAAATTTCTTACGAGAAAAATTCTTGTTATTGAATAATTTTTTAGAAGATATTTGAAGAAACATATTGTATTTTATTTAATAATTTCGATGATTGAAATATCTCGTCTAAATAAACTGCTATAAATTTTTATCTAGCAATTTTTATCAGAGACATGATATACACCATAAATAATTATAATAAAAAAAAAAAGTTTTAAAAATAGTATTCACACGAGAACAATTCTGTTCACTTCTTAACTTATAGTCTCTAAACAGCTTTATCGTCACAATTAATTTTTTATACGTCGTATATAAAAATAAAAACGAAATAGCGAAAAAGAGAAAAGGCATAAATTATTTGAATTTTATATTTTCTACTATTTTATATGATCCATATCAGAATATCCACTTCGTTTAACCATTTGAATAATTTTCAAGATGGATAGTATTCAGAAAGAAATCGACTCAAAGAACAATACTCATCATTCATCCTTCGAATATTCGAATTAAAGTTTTTCGAACAAAATGGAATAAATTTTTCCAAATAAATTTCCTATAATAAAAATTGAGAAGAGAGATATTTCGTCGATTAACACGTGTCGGAAACGAAACTAACGTCGCTAATTCGCGGTCAAATTGCAAGCGTGCACTTCGAGCTTCGAGTTCGTTGTAGAGTTCCCCATCGATAATCTTGCACGTTTGTCACTTTTAATTAACCGAAATTCATTTGAACAATTTGAATCGTCGAATATATTTCATATAGGCGGAAACTAACGCCTCGATCCTTGGGAATCGCGTTTCCCAAAACGCCATTGATACGCCGTATCGCATTTTGCGTTTAATCGTTGCCCGTTTTATTGTTCATCTATTTACCTGTAGTATCCTGCGCCACGTTCATTACGCGATCCCTTCCAGTGACAAACGATTCATTTAATGCAAAAATTGCTTCGATCGTTATCGGCGCATTTGCGGGGAATACACATGCGGCGAGATTGCTTTTACGATTGATTTTATTTGAAATTAAAAATCATGGATGGGATATTCATTTTCCATGAAATGAATGTTAGGATAATTATTATTTTCGTGGGAATTAGAGAAAAATTGATAGGAAAAAGATATATTCGTATATATTCGAATAGGATACAGTTGAAATGTTGTCAAGATTTTTTTCATTTTTAAATAATTATATTCTTTAGTCGTGTAAATTAGAAAATGAGTTTGCTCATTGTGTAATGATTTACAAGCGTTCCCTTGTCTTTGTTTTAATAATTTTTTTAAAAGATTTTCTATTGCAATTATCAAAATGAGAGGCAAAGTATATAGAAAATGTTGAAATACATCTTCATTCATTGGTAAGATAAAATGTTCAAGACATTGAAGCAATATCCAATATTCATTTCATGCAAATTATAGAATATATATATATAGCACATCCGGATAGATACGCGGCCATTTATTATACTTGAACATTCAGACAGACTTATCAACCTGTCAAACTATAGACCAACCACATTTTTCATTTTACGCTTAATCAGAAATTAAAATCTATCATATTTCTCTTGGCGCATCTTTTTCCTTCGATTGGATAATTTCATTTTATACAAAATAAAATTTAACGCGTATTTACTGATCATTACGAAAAGAACTTTCTTAAAAATTATAATAGTTTTCTTTTTTTTCTTTTCTTTTCTTTTCTTCTCACGAAGAATAAAATCTTAATACACGATGTATTCTTGAATAACCAATAAAATATGAAAACAAAAGGAATTCTGTTCAAACGAAACAAACACTTCCAATAACGTATTTTCGTATGGTGTAATGGTATATCAAACAGTCGTTCGTCTTAGAAGAATGGGAACTAAAGAGGATCCCTATCGATGTTTCATCCCATTTCTGCAAGAGATAATATAACATCCGATTGCGGAGGATTCATCTACGATATGGAAACAGATGTTTATCGCAATGTTCCAGCATTTCCAAGTTATTAATTCTGTATGAAATTGTTTGACGATAATACGAAATTTGTTGCGCAAGACAGATTGCGATTGCGTAATTCTCCACGCAAATCTCTATCTCCATTACATCACGTGTGTACTTGTGCACTATCTATACAGGGATTTGCGTTCATTGTGTTTGTTTACCATAATGATTGCCATAAGCTTGAATACACGATCATCATAATGATTGTATATTCTTGTACGTTGTTACATAGATAGAATGTTTCAATGTTTTTTTTTTTTTTCATGAAAAAAAAGGATATTAGTTAAAAGGAAATTATAAAAGGAAAGAAAATTTAATCTTTTCAGAATCAAAGATTTTTTTTTTAGAGATATTCTTTTTTCATCAATTATTCGTTATAGAAATATATTATTTCGTTTTCTTGATGCAATGTATTAACATTTGAGGCTTATTTCATCATCAAAAAGGAATATATATATTTATTTATTTATTATTATTTATTTAATTAAGTAATTGAAGTATTATATTCCATATATGCAACATTGGACGTCGAGATATTAATTTTTAAAATACTGGGATACTGTATTACTTTTCAAAAGTTTAATTTATTATTTTAAATCAAATAATTGGATAATGGGCTTCAAGAAATTAATTAACATGCAATCAAGACTTCGCAATTTTTGATAGAAATTCTGGAAAAATGATAGAGCACAATTGTTTTTCTCGATTTAATATAATAAACCCAAGCTGGAACCCAAGTTAACAATTTAATATAAAAATTTCCCTAGATATTTGAGGCACGAATTGAATGCAGTCACAATGCAGTGTATTTTACGAAACAAAAGAAAATTTTATTTTGCTTAACGGGCAACGATTAAAAAATAGAAAACGTTTAAACGTTTAAATGACAGAAAGTCCTATTTTTTGAGACTGGTTTCTAAATTTAATTAGTGGATAATAATTTAAAAAAAAAAAAAAAAAAAAATGGACCCGACACTTCAAAAACACGGAGCTAAACACATATACAAAGTACCGGAAGGACTACGAGAATTGTGTAGCGACATTTCACGGGAAGTAAGTAATATTTTATTGCCAAATGTTAAAGTTATCACATGCCTTCGCGTGCATATAATTCAAAAATTCAATTAAAAAATTATATACAAAAATCGTTTCTCAAATTATATATAACACATCTTAGGGATAACCTTTCGAAACATCCATTTTAACTATCCACAAATTTTTAATCTCCAATTTTTTGAGACTGAATTACAATTTCTCACTCTATGATTAAAACCATAGGTCCTTCGCTCGCAACCGACCAACATTCTCGCCTTTATCGCCGAATACGTGGACACACTTCTGATCACGCGCGAGAATACAAAAAGTACGTTCTTCGTTTTGAGAAATATTTCAGAAATTTCCTCTTCTGCTTCGCCCTGTTTTTTAAAAAAAAAAAAAAAATATTCAAGAGAGCGAGTTATTAAATTCGCTCCATCCTCTCAGTTGCAGTCAAAGTCGTAAACAATATTCTACTCGGAAGCGAGGCAATTCTGAACATACTTTACCGGGCTGGTTTCAGTTTGGAGCAAGTGGCGGTCGCCGCTCCACGGATTCAAGTAAATTTTATTTTTCTCGCGTGCGCGTTTGTCGTCGTCATGTCGCTTATATAGATATATATTTAAATTTTTTCCACCTATCCTAATTCTCTTCACATTTTTCAGAAAGTATTCCGCTCGTATCTGGACGCGATGGATTTGCGGCCATTGATATGCGAGGGTAAGGGAGATCGTAAATGAATCGTAAAAATAAGAAAAAGGAACTGGCAAGCGTTATTATTTTTAAACGGGCTGCTTTTACGACCGACCTCGTGCCGGGGAAAAATTATAAAATAGAAGCGAGGATATACGAGGCGATACGAGTTGTTATCGATGGAAATTATTCTTCAACGTGGTTTTAGTCGAGATGATTAATGAGAATAGGCGCGTGTGCGCAAGTTGAAAGCCGGGAAATAAGTTGGCAATTGATCTTGGCAAAAATTATTTTTCTATTATACGTATTAATATAATATATATATATATATATATATATGATTATTTCTCAATTTCTCAATTTCTCGAATTCGATTCGCAAAAAAGGAAAGAGAAACGAATTACGATCGAAACGAGCAATCGTATTCGACCGTATTCGTCGGCTAACATTTATCGCTTGATAAATCGTCCAGAATTCCCCTCTCCCCCCTTTCAACCACCATCGATCCACGAAGGAAACTCTTCTCTCTTTTGTCGCTCCCATGAATTGTAGATTTCTGCCTCATTGTTACGTTATTATTTATATATATATGTAAGTATCGATGGACTTGTGTATTAGGGTGGGAAAATTAAATGATTATTCGTTTTTGTAAAATTAATTTCTAAGGGCTTTGAATTTTTTTCAGGAAGAGGGTTTAAATATATTTTTAATCTCTCAATTAAAATAAATGTTTGTAACGTAATTCTTTAGATTCGTTAGAAAGAAATATTATTTCTTAAAAATAAAAATTAAATTATGGTGGATATATTAAAAAGAATCTGTTAAATATTATTGGAAGGAAATTTTTGATCGTTGTTAGAAATTAACGAATTTTAAACATTACTTTAAATGATACTTCTATCGAAACGATACTTTTATAATTTTAACAAATTATTATACTATATATAATAATAATTGTTACAAAAGATTATTATTATTAAGTTAAGATTAGTATTAAGTTAAGATTATAATGAATTACACGCGATTTGAAATAGAAGGATAATCTTTGCAAGTGTTTTAATCGTTTTAGATGCAATTTGCGAAGAGAAATCCAAGATATCGATTCGAAATATTTTAGAAGCAACAGGAGCAACACCCGAAGAAGCAGAGCAAGCTTCCATAATAATACAAGTCGGTATTTCAAATTAAAAAAAAAAAAGAAAAATATTTCTGTATAACAAAATATCTAAATATCTCTTACAAATCCTCGTATATAATTCTCAAATGTTGAATATAAATCACTGAGATCAGTCTGCGTTCCGCGGTCACTACGAAAGGATGTCCTTAAACGAGGCCCAAGGAAGAATTCAATGGCAAAGAGCAGTGGCGAACACCCTGAATATTCTGAAGAAGGCTGGTGCAACGCAAACGGAAATTGCTAAAGCCGCGAGACACGTGAAAGTAATGACTTCTTTATTTAAACATCGTGTGTTAATGACGATCATTTAATTAAATCACGCGTTATTAATTAGTTTGCCTATCGAGGATACTACAACAGAAGGAATCAAAAGATCGACCCTCGTAAGACAGTAATTGAATTCGATGTAAATTTTGGAAGGTTCATTGGAAAGAAAGTTTGAGATGACTGTTGATGTTCGCAGTGGAAGACGAGCCTCTCAAGAAGGATGAACGTATATTGGAGCCCGTGGAGGCTTTCCAAGCGGTTGCTTGGATGGACGTGATGTACGAAGATTCTGGATTAGAAATGCAGAAGGCCCACGAAGCTGCTACAATTATTCAAGTAACGCTAACGATCGTTCAACTTTAGATCGTAGAAATTCGTGAAAATGGGAAAGAAAAATTTTTTTCAACGATCTTCGAAAAAAAATATGCAAATTTGCGTTTTAAAAATTAATTGTATAATGATCTCTCTAATCTCGTAAACAATTAATCGAATGGATTTAATCCCTTTTCTCCTTTTCGTTTTTTTTTTTCTTAAGATAAGATTTGTTTTCATAGAAAGCTTTTAAAAAATATCGTGCAAAAAAACAAAAGTACGATTTGCAACAATTGGAGACAACGTCAACAATGGTCGCTGATGCCGTTGTCGATAAAGTGCATCAGAAGATTTTTGAAAAGATAACCTCGCGCAAAGATATCCCCGAAGAGTATGGCACTCGGGAAGAAATGATGTACATGAGTACGAAATTTCAAGTAGCTTTCAAAGAGCAAATGAAGATGTCACGTTTAGTAAAAAGTATTATAATATTTGATACGTAAATTTTAATTTACATCTTAACGCGTATTTAACGGTTTATTTTTTTTGATAATAATTTGATTGCTTCGTTTCTTACTTCGTCATTTTTAGATAAATAATTTAAACAATTATTTACCTCGTTAATTTTTAAAAAAAACTCTACATAAAAGCTACGTATTTTCAATTATTAAAATTAAATGACCACACGAAAAGGATTATAACCAATTAATTATGTACAAGGTAATGATAATATAATTTCTTAATTAGAATTGCCGGATGACGAAAAAGAGGAGGAGGAAGAAATAGAAGAAGAAGAGGGTAGGTGCAATTATTATAAAAGGCTAACTTTTCGAAAAACGAAATATTCCAATAAATAATTCAAAATTGTTATTTAAAAGAAAATATAGAAACAGTTAAACCTAAATATCGTCCAATCCCAATGGAACCAAAGACGGAAATCAAAAATTCCCCGATTTTCATGGAAGAATCTTTGACAGAGGATGAGGACATAGCGCCATCAGAGATCACCGAAAAATCGACCACGGAACCGTTGACCACGAGTCCGGAATTGCAATCGGAATTGGAAACGGATCGTCCAGATTTAGCCGAGGATGAGAAAAGTATTAATAATAATTTTTCATCATTATTATTAACATGGTGTTTCACGATGAGATGTTAATAGTGTCCGAGCTGGAAGAGGATGAAAAAGAAAAAGAAGGTAAGAAAGAGGAGGAAGAAGAGGGAAAGGAGGAAGGGGAGGGGGGAGGGAAGACGGGGAGAGAGAGAACGGAGGATGAAACGGAGGATGAAACGGAGGATGAAACGGAGCACGATGAGACGAAAGACGAATAGAAAGAGATGGAAAAGGAGCTCAAATGATGCCCAAGAGGATGGCGGTACACGTTAGCGCCCGTTCTAGCTAGAAATGATATAAATGCGCTCGTTTATTAACTTTATTAAAGCAATATACTTCCAAAATAAGTTTATCAAGTTTATTAGCGCAATATACTTTAAAAAATAAGCTTTCGCCGCGCGAACCTCGAAATTAAACTTCTTCTTTTTTTTTTTTTATCCGAATTATTCTGTGCACGCCGTCTTTTCTTTAAAAAAAAAAAAAAAAAAAATAATAGAATAAGAATTAAAACGGAAATTCGTTTTGCTGAAAACATTTATAGCAGTTTTTAAGAAAAATTTTTTTTTTACATATACAAAGCGTCTATGTATAAAGACGTGAATAATATAATTATATAATTTTTGTGCCTCTTCCACTCGAATTTCTTCGTCTTTTTTCTTTTTCCTCTCTTTTCTTTTTCTCAAAAATCAATAGTCAATAAAAAAAATGCTATAAATTCATCTATAACTAGGTAATTGCGTATGAAAAAAAAGAATATATAATAAACATGTGAACTAAAACAATATAAATACAAAAACTTAGTAATGTAGATATTTTCTCGAATTTAAAATGTATGTCTCCAAGGTGTACCTTTCGCTGAACAATAATTACCAGTTTTTATCAAACGAGACTTCAAGTTTTTAAATTGATTCGTGTCCCCTTCCTTGAACATCTGCCCGCAATCACCGTATCTGCACGGTGGTTTCCTAATAGGAGCACGATTGTCCCGAAAACGAGAATTATCGTTGCCCGAATATTTATTCCCTCCTTGTTTCCCGTTTTCATCGAGTTGACACGTTTCCAAGCTGAATGATTTATCGCATTCATCTTTCCGCTCGTCCGTGAATTCAACCCCCCCATTGAAATACGCCTTGTGCCTGCACTTTTTATTAGTCTTGTACTTCTCCACCAAAATGCACAAGGAATCCTTGTGATTGATCGTTGCCACGGAATCGTCCAGTTCCTCGTCGTTCTGCTCCTGCATCATCAACACCTTCTCCGAATCTTTTCCATGACAGTTATTGCAAGTCGATTCCCGAATAATAGCGTGGTCATTTCGATTGCAACTTTTTAAGTTATTCGAGTTGTTTGAGGAACAGAGGCAGGTGTCCGACGCGAGACGTTTTTCTTTCGAGGAATGTCTATTCGGGAAAGCAGATATTGAAGCGGGTTAAGGATTAAGATTTTCATTCTAATTTTCATTTACGTTCGTTCTAAATAAATGTGTGTTATTTTATAAAAGAATAGGTTTGAATATGGAATGAATCTCTCCCTACCTGTTGTGCTCGTCGCAACGATGATGACAGTGGTCGTGAGAATGGCAACAATGACGATTCTGGCGACAGCAATCCCGATGAGGCTGTAGAAGATTTAGAGTCGAGTGTTTCTCGCAATTGCAAGCGTGCGAAATACTGGATGACGATGGATGGTTGTTCTTCTGTGGTGTGAACGTGCATCGCAAATTTCGATGGAACCCTTTGCAACCCTTCCCCTCGCCGTTACAATCGTGCTCGTCCCGGCTGCAATCTAAAAAAAAAAAAAAAAACAAATGTGCGCGAGAAACGATAGATGTAAAATTCACGAGGATAATTTTAATTAACATCGAGGAAGGGAATCGACTCACTTCGTTTCTCTTCTTTGAACGGACCATTAGCCTTAACGTTGTTCGTTTCGTTTTGATCTCGATCGTAAAGAAGATTAACAGAATCCAATTTGGATGGGATTTCTTTCGAGTTTCGTTTTTGCAAATAGGAAAATGCACCATGAAAATGATTAGAATTTCGAGATTCTGTCACGGGATTTTTCATTGGCTTCGAGTCGCAACTAAAAATAAATAAATAAGTATGATAATAATAAATCGATAACGTTATTATTATATAATGGTTTTTACGTGCCTTTATAAAGGAAACGATTAATAACGAGAAAAAGAGCATTGCAGGTTTAAGTCACATTTGCTCTCATATTATTATTATTATTATTATTATATTATTAAACCAATGAATATTAAATTCTTGCGAGTGGATATTATCATAATAATTTTCAACTTAATTTAACTTAATAATGTTTATGAATTATAGTTGAATTTTTAATGTTTCAAAAAACGTTTTAAAAGAACACGAGATGAAATTACGATAAATTTAATTCTATTATTACGGCTTAAAGTTTGAACGTCGATATTTCGAAGGAAACCTTTATCTCTAATTATTCCAAATTATGAACATATTCATGAAACCATTGTAATTTATTTCAGGATATCTCTCTAAATGCGTATTCATATAACCAAGTACTGAAATTCAATTTAAATTCCATTTTCTCGATATAATTGCAACATGTTTTTCCATAATTCTTGTTGCAATTGCCAATATCCTTTTAAATTAAATACGCGTGTATACGATAATCAATTTTCTTGTGCAAAATGTGTCATACCTTTCCACTTGTTCCAATTTAGAGAATTCGTTTTTCTGCGTGATTTCGTTATGCTCTTTACTTGGAACGATGTCGAGCGTGTCTCCAACATTGCACTGCTCGTTACGTTTACGACAACAACTGCATATTATTGGCTTTTGGAATAAATTTTCCTTGGTCGAGCCATTTTCCCCGCATTCATCGTTCCAATACGTTTTTACTTGATTCGGCCTTGATTTTGAAGAATTCCTCGTTAACAGTAAATTCTCTTGATCATTTGAATCCTCATTTCCGCTAAGACTTTCAGTCTGATTACACATATCGATGGAAATTTTAATAAGCAGATATTATTGACAACAAGCTTTTAAAAAGTTACAGTATTTATTACTTATTTATTACGTAAGCAATTCCAAAGTCAATCATTTTTTTTTTTTTTTAATCTATTTCCGTGAAAAAAAATGTCTCACTTTTGAAAAAAAATAAATAGAGAAATTACTACTTCGATAAAAACAATTGCATAATTAGATGAAAAAAGTTCGGGAGAAATTTTATAGCAAAATTGAAATCAAGAAAATCACTGTATATTATTATCGTGTTATTAACGAAAGAAATACGAAATTAGAAACCTTAATGTCAAAAAACATTACATGCAACAGATACACTTCGATAGATTTTTACTGATCTATCAAAATTAAATTTGAATTTATAAATTTAATTATAAATCCGTCTGATATGAAATAAATATTTTTTTTTAGAAAATAAATTATAAAATATGTTAATGAAACCATTACCTTATCGAACTTCGTTGCTTCTTCCGAGTTGCAATACAGGCCAAAATTTTTCGGAAATTTACGCCGAGCTCGACGAAAAGCCATCGCGGCTGCGACCAACTGATGAGACGAAGACGGACAAACCTGAGACATGGCTAAGAAGTCGTATAAATCGAGTCGAATATTCTCCGGATTTAAAAATAATTCAATTTGTCATTCGGAGTGATTGGTTAAGTTTCCTATAGGTAAAGGGCAATTGAACGTTGAAGTGAGCTACACTCTTTCACTAATAATTTACGAAGAAATCGAATTCGATTCTTCTATCGATGCTATTGATTCGAAAACTAGTAAAAAATACAATAACAAGTAACAAGTAATAACTAACGATAGTCTTCGCTTTAAAATGGCATAGAACATTGTGAATGAATATCTTACAATTAATAAGGTTTTGTAATACATTAAATATATATTATATTTAATTCGTTCGATTAAATATTGAAATTAAATTTTCAATTAAAATTTCTCGAAAATCTTAAATAATTATATTGAAATTTTTCCTCTCTGAAATTAAATCTTACGTAAATTTAAATAAACGTGTAACGTCCTATTATTCTTATAAAACCCCTTAGAGTTTTCTGTGTTAATTGGCTATTTTACGATATTCGATTCTATTATAATCTTTAGTACACTGTTCTTATATAACGATATACAATTCCGATACCGTACAAATTCATTGGATTTGTATTAAACAGAATTTCGTTTAGCATGGAAATCTAAGCCGACATCCTTCACATCGAAACGTTTAACTTTAATTAGATGACAATAAAAATGATAATAAATTTAATTTTTATTAAACTATATAAATGAATAATCGTAAAAGAAGCTTATATTTCTTCAAAATATAATATCGAATAATTGTTAACTTTTTAATTATGAAATAAATATAATTAAAGTATTCTCTGATATTGATTTGGTAGTCTTAGAAAAAAAAAATTTATAATTAATTGCATAAACCGCAATAAAAATGGGGAAAATAATGTAATAAGAAGGAATTTTGAAATCGATAATTAACAGAATTTTCTATTATCAGAATTTTAATTAATGATGAAATAATTGGAAAATATTTTGTCATCGTAAAAGTTAATCAAAATTTTTTAAAGATTTAAAAAACGATTTAATATGGTTGAAATAATTTTAAATTGTTATCGATATATAAAAACAGATAAATACACAAATAATTATACACATTCTACGATATAAATATTAATATCTTGTATAAAGCAGAGAAAAATGTTAAAGATATCATTGACATTACGATAAAATTGATGATTGAATTAAATTAATGCCCGAGATATCATCGAAGTTAAATTAATTTATTCAAAAAATTATTCCATCGGAAAATATATTTCTATAACTAAACCATAAAAATAATAACTTAATTCAAAGAGAAAGATTCCATACATCAGTCAAAATTCAACAGATTCGAGTTTAACTCGTTTTTTTCATCATAACAGTAAAATATCGTACTGTATCAAGAATCATCTCTTTATGAAAACTAATCCTAGTAACTTATTCATTAAATCAAAAATATTACACCATAACAACGATTAATTAATTTACACTTTTCACAGATATATAGTGAGAATTACGACAATTTTTTACACGGAAAAATCCGAGATTTTGATATTAACGTCTCATAAAATTATAGGTGATGATTTAATCACCTTAATTTAAACAGTTTGTATACAAACTCGCATACATCGTATGTATACTATTCATACATGAATATACAATACGGATAAAGTATGCCGATAAAAAAAAAAAAAGACGCCTATATGATAAGTTTGAGACAGGATTATATACTATGGATATAAAATATTACATTTCTAAATCTTCATATGATTATATGTGCGTGAATACTAAAAGCATTTCTTGGAACTAATTAGAATCATTTTTCGTATATGCACCAGCATCGCACCTGATATATATTCTTTTTCGCAAATCGTGATTTTTTGCATTATGTAATTATGTATTACCAAAAATTTTATCTTACGTATCTTACGCGCGTTACTCACTCATAACACAGCATTTATAAATTTATTATTATTCGCTATCTTTGAGACGTTCATTATAAATAATTCGTAACATATACACAATTTTTACAAAACAGCATCTTCGCAGCGACACATTTGCAACAAATAGTTAAATTATAATTAATTGTATCACAAGGAACAATTCAATGAAGATAACATAATGCAATACCATCCATTTCCTTATGTTCTTTAGAATTTAACATTCGCAATAAATGGATTAGTTGAATGGTGTAAAATCGGACGGACTGCATCAGCCATCTTTAAGGTACTAACGTAAGAACTTCAGTTTCATTATATCATATCATTTAATTCATCCATGGTGGACAAGAAGTTGGTGGTTGATATGTTTGAGAAATTGGCACCTGATAATGCTGTACTGTTTGAGGTGGATGCTGCGGTCGCTGCTGATGATGCGGCGGTGGTGGTGGCGGTGGATTGCAAATGGATTGCATCAATGGGTGTGAATTATAAGGAGGAGGTTTTGTCGTATATGGTGGCATTTGATTATATTCGATATTCAACGGATGTTCCAATATCGCATTTTGTACAGGTGAACGATTACCTTCAACGTGCCCTAAATAATTCAATATAAAAATTCATTATATTATATTCATATTCATATTTACAATTAAATTATAAAAATCCAAAGTTTGAACAAAATTGCAAATTAATAAAAAACTACTTAAAGATTGGAAAATATATAATTACATTAAATAATATATAATTTCGACAAAATATTTTAACAAATATTTTGAAATATTTATATATTTGAAAATTCTTTATTTTTTTTCAAATAATATATATTAAAAATCTTTCTAAATATTTATTAGAAATAATCTTATATTCTATATTATATTATTTATATTAAAATTAAATTAAGTTAATTATATGAATTTTATAAATATATATATAATATAATTATATACAATTATCATTATGAATACCTCTAGGTCTAATTTGTGGTGGTGGCATATTTGTTGGAGGTAATGAAGGACACATTCCTTGATGCTCTCCATCCCTTGGCATTGGTGGTGGTCTACCCCATGGAACTCTAACGTGATGTGTTTGCCAAGGTGCTTGTGGTAAAAGTGAAGGGGGTAAAGGTGGCCCACTTCCAGGATGTATGTTTACTGAATCTCCCATTGGATTCTGCTCATTTCCTATTACACAAATAAATATACACATAATGTAATCTGTTTCCCAATTTATAAGAAAACATAAAAACAACTGCATCAGAACAAATTTTTAATATACCTGTATTCATGGCAGCACTTTTTTGATCCAAGTTGCGTTTTTCACCTAAATGATGAAAATTCATGAAATGAAATAAAGTACATAAAATTGTATAAAACAACTATATGTAAAATGTATTATAAAATTAAATATGGCAAATAACGTAATGAAATATTGTAGCATAATTATTAATTCGTCAAATTAAAAAAAATCAATAAACAAAATAGAAATAAAATTATTTAAATTTTTTTTATATATGAAACTTATAAATATTTTTAAATATTTAAATTAAAATATTATTTGTGTTATTCAAAATATTATTATAATCTTCTAATGACATTGTTTTATGTTTTAATCAATACAACATAGTAATTTTTTAAATATGTTATAAAGTTATAAAATAACAACAATATTTCACGTCATTGACCGTCTCTTATTAAAAAGAAAAAAATAACAGTTATAACGCTAAATGCATCTGAAAACATGTAATAAATACATATTCATTAAATCAGCTATCATATCACGATTAATATAACACCTCTTCAGTTAATATTTGTTTAATCTGTAAAATAAAATGTTATTAAAAATTGATTTTTATTTATTATTCAAACTCCAATTTCTTGTCATTTAGAATATTACTGGATTCACTGCAAAATAAATAATAAAATTAATCATATATAATTATTTAGCAAATCCCAAAATGTTTTGATTTCATTGGATTGTTTTGATTCTGTAAATTTTATATAATTTTATATATTATATAATATAGAAGAAACTACATTAAATAATTCATAAATTATGAATCATTAATGTCAATATGATATTATACTGCTACTCCATGTATTCATATGCTCAGCTTCAGAGATCTGATTCCAAGATACATATTTTTGACATTTCATTTTATTAAACTTAAAATATTAATATTAAACATAACATAGAACGCATTTCAATAGAATACGAACGGTAATAATTATAGTTAATATTCATTAAAAGTAATCACTGAAATATAAAATCACATTATTACAGAGATCTGAAAATACAAAAATATACTTTAATTCAATAATAAAAACATATGAAGAAGCATTAAAATTAGGATACTTAAGTTAACTATTTTAATTATGTAATACAATATAGCGAAAGTCTTGTTAATTCTAAATAATAACAAATAAAGACAAATGGAAAACAATCTAGCTGTGATATCACGTAAACGTTGTGGATAATTCTGGACGTCTATCTGCAAAGTGTTTGAATGAGTATATGAAGAAGCTAGTTGCTAACAATAAGACATGGATTAAGAATAAAGAGAAATTTATATTGTTTAGTAAAAAATATATTTACAATAAATAATGTACTACAAGCTAAGAGTATTGAGAAACAATGCTAGATACCCATCTGAAATAAAAATATATATATAGTATCGAATTAATAAATAAATATATTATAAATAGCATATTTTAAATTAAAAATAAATATCTTTTCCATTACATAAAAGAAATAATTGTTTAATTAATTTTTATATTTATTAATATACATTATATTTGTATTAATTTTCAAAAGGTATCCAGCACTCTTTCATCATAAATACTCTTAGTTACAGACCTGGATGTGGAGGTGGCATTAGCAGCTTGTTTCGATCTCCATGAGGTAGACCCGCAGCTGTTGATGATGGACCATGTAAGACTTGCTGCTGTCGATCACCTTCTCTGCTTAAACAATTCAGTTTCAAATTATTAATTCAAAATCAATGATTGTAAAGTAAACATTTCAAAACTTAAGCAAATATCACCTGATGCTCAGCCATGGATATTTCTGAAATGTTAAAAGCATCTAGTATCTCCAGGTCACCAATATTACCAAACTTTTGTATAAAAAGAACTTATAATAATTTAGTTATAACGTAATAATACAGAATATCATAATATTATAATTAAATCCAATTATATTTTATGTATAATATATATAATATATAATTATATTTTCTAATTTTATTTTATTTTGATTAAAATTAATAATAGCCACTAATAACGAAAATAATGACGTACAATTTTTAATAATTATACACATAATGATAATAAAAAAATTTAATTCTTTTTATAAAAAAAAAAACTTATCTAATGAAATGTATAAATATATAAATATTTTTTTTCAATATAATATTCTGTGAAAAAATTATTTATATATTCACAATCATTTATTTTAAACATTCTTTACATTACTTTAAACATTCTGATTATTCAAACATATTACTTTAATTTCATTATAATTAATTCTTATTACTTTAATTTTATACTTTTCTATATAAATAAAACAGGTATTTCAAAATAGTTTGACTGTGAATATGTAAAATTTTAATTACCACATTATAACTTGCAAGAATTGAAATTGATGTTCCTTACTTCATAACATTAAATATTTTTTTTTCTTTTCTTTTTTAATAATAATAAATTGATGAATAAGGAACAGTTAAAAAAAATTCCTGCTTATTTGATTGAATTTGATACATCTTGATCAAAGCAGGTTTCTGAAAAAAATTTTGTTTTATTGAAATGCACGTATTTAAGCTCACTATAATATAAAATAAATTGACTAAAATTTATAATTTTCATATCTAAGCAATGAGAAAAATTATTAGGCAGCTTTCATAAAATAAAAGATTCTGTCACAGTTAGTAATAACATACAATTGCAAACATTAGCAATTGTATAATATACGCGTATACTTATATATATTTTAACATTATATTTCTTTTTAAGTTTTAATATCAATTAGACACTATAAATAAATATATTTATTTTATATTTTAAATATCAAGGTTCATTAAACCTGCTTTATTCACCTAATAAACTTTAATTTTCTCGCATATTGCAAGAAAATTTTACTTCATGCACATAGAAAAACTATATTAATAGAAATAAACAATGATTTTACTTACCCTGTTCCATGACGTTGAGCAGGCAGAGGACCACACTGATAAGGTGATGATTCCTATTATTCATAAAAGAATTTATTTAAATTTATATTTTATATATAATAGCAAATATAAAAAATATATTTTAAAAGCTAACCGGATTTGTTTCAACATCTGAAAATCTTCTTTTTACACCATGAGATTTTTGTTCAGGAGAATCAGGCTTTTGCTCAAATTGTTGAGGTGGTGATTGAATTGTATAATGTACTTGTGGAGGCATATGACCATTCTGATATTGCATATGCTGAGCATATTGTATCTGCGCTTGAACTTGCGGTGGAGGTACATTATGTAAAGGTATATTTGCAGGTGGCATCTGAACCTGTAATATTTTTATGTTACTATCAAATTATATTTCAATTTTATTAAAAAATACATAAGAATTTTCATGTCACCTGCAGTTGACCCTGAGATTGCAACATCTGTTGCGGTTGTTGTGCCTGATATAACCATGGAGCATTCTGTGAAGGAGGTGCTTGCGTCGGCGGCGGAATACTGGTAAGAACGTTCATAGAACTTGGTATTTGAGCAGTAGGTGGTGGTACAATTTGTGGAGGTGGTACTGGTTGAGGTTGTGATCCTTGATCCACTGGTCCTTCTTGTTGATGTTGAACTTCACCTCCAGGAGGAAGAGGATGTTGTTGAGGATGTTGAGGCGATTGAGCATTAGGGACTAAAAAAGTTTGTGTAGACGGAGGAGGTACTTGTAAATGAAATTGAGGAGCATGACCTTCAAATTGTGGAGGTAACATATGCTGAGCCACAGCTTGAGACTGTTCATGATTTTGTTGTAACTGTGGTGGAACAATGTGCTCTCCAGGTTGTAACACAAACTGTGTTTGAGATTGTGATGCAGGTGCCTGCACTTGCTGATATTGTATTTGATAAGTTTGTGGTACTGGAGGTGGTGGTTGATTCGGAGGAAAGTTTGGCGGAGGAAAATGAAGATGCAATAACGGTGGAGGTGGTTGTTGAGTTATATTAATTGGTGTTGCTGGAGGTGGTTGTTGTAAATTCACGTTGACGGCTTCGATTATTCCTTGTGGTGGTGTAGAAGGCCTTTGTACATTTGGTTGTGTATAAACATAAGAAACTGCACCACTAACTGGTGCACTACTACTTGTAATAAAGTTTTGTTGAGCTGGACTCTGTGGTGGTGGCTGACTCATAACATACATTTGGGCTACAGGTTGCGGTGATGATTGTGATCCAGGTTGAATTCCTTGAATTTGTAGTGGTTGTCCTGGATGAATTTGATATTGTACTTGACTTACTGTCGATGGAGGACCAATTAATTGCACTTGACCAACAGGTGGAGGTGGCATAAATGTTTGTATCTCCTTCATACAAAACATTTAATTATAGAAAAAATATTATATTTAATTAAAATTAATTTAATTAAATAATCATTGAATTATGTTTATTTTACCTGTGCTTGTGGTGGTGGTACTAATGGTCCTGAATGAGGAGGTATATGTACTCCAGGTGGAGGAACTGTTATTCCAGATCCTGGTGCACCAGTTACTGTAGCAGTGAGAATGGTTGCTGGCAATGTTACTACATTACTTTGAGGATGTTGTATGATATCTGTTAAGAATGATTTGCAACAGTTACAGACAGAATTTCTAACAGCCATGAACTATTAGTGTATGTGCTCTACCTTGATGTTGTATAGTAACAACATTAGGCTGTCCCAAAGTACCAATGTTCATGGTTTGAAATTGTGCTATAAAAGATGAAAGTCAAAACAAATGAAAGTATATAATTAGATTTAATATTTATGAAATATAATTAATTCATACTTTGTGGTATTTGCGACTGTTCTATAACTTGCTGTGATTGTACTGGTGGTGGCTGTTGCTGTATATATGATTGTAATTCAGATTGCATTGTCTGAATTAAATTAATTGCTAACTGTTTTGCATTTTGTAATGCTTCTGGTTTTGGATGCCTATATAAAACATATAATAATATTGTATTATAATAAACTGTATTATAAAAATTTTTAATAAAAAAATATATATATTATCTTACTCTATGTACAAATGCAATGGTTCTGGAGATTCAGTGCCTAAAATGGGATCAATGAATTGTGATCCTCTACCTTTTAAAGTTATATTTGCACCTGTTTCACTCCTAATATATAATAAATTTGCTCCACCTGCACCTATGATTCTGCCTCTTAAATCAAATCCTTCTGGAGCATTTTCTATTCCAACACAAATTTTTTCCTGTAGAAATTATTGATACAATAAAAAATATAAATTATAGTATGTATAGTTTTAAACAAAAATATTACATACCACAGATGTAACACTGGAATGTAAACTCATAAGAGGTGGTGGTGCATTAGTAAATCTACTTGGTCTATTTAAAGAACTTTGATGTTCTGTTTTAATAATTTCATTAATTTTTTGTATAGCAGCTGTAAAAAAATTAAAATAAATATTTTTTAATACTTACAAAAAATACTTATAAAAAAACAATATAAAAAAAAAGAACAACATACAATCCACATTATGTTTCGCATGTCCCTGTATATAAAGATATAAAGGTCGTTCATTGGGACAACGTAACTTTTCCTGCTCTGTCATAAAACGTCCACGTGTTGAAACAGTAGCACCTAAAAGATATGGAATGTGCTGATATAAATAATTATTATATAAATAATATATATTAAATTAAAAAAGAAATTATAAAAGAAAGAATTATAGAAAATAACAAAATATTATGAAAACATACCTGAATAGGAATTAATTTCATCTTGTATGTAACCCTTTGTAAGCAATGTACGGGCACTAGGTGGTATTTCATTAATTTCAAACTCTGATGTATATGTTTCTCCATTTTTAAAAGTTGTATTTGAAGCTGTTAACTATTTTTTGTAGAGAATTAAAAGAATATATAAATATACATCAACATCAAATTATTTCATAAACATACCTTATTATTTGAATCTGAACCTCTCAATTTTCCTTTAGCCATGGAGATGAAATATGTAGATCTTTGACAAATATATTTTTTTTCATAACGTCAAAGCATATATACGATTAACACTATTCGAATATTTTTTCGCTATATCAAGAAAAAGAAATTAATATTTTTATTATAATACTTTACTTTCTATCTACAGTATATCATAAATTTTAGGTTATAACTAATAGTAATAAATCTCCAATTAAGCGACAATGACATGAACTTTATTTCTATACGTACCTAATTATTTAATAAATTAATAGTAAGTTACAATTTCAATCACGATAAATACACAATCGAAATAATTAATAATGTATTAAATGGTTAATATTTAAAGATTTCACAAAAATTATTAATCGGTATTATAAATCATTTACTACCATTTTTTAAGACTATCGTTGTGTGTGACGCTCTGACAGTGACAGACTTGCGCGTATTAGATGAAGATGCCATGTTAATTTTACATATATAAAAAACAAAAGATTATATAACGAAACAAGTAATGATTTTGATTTTTTCACACTTTTTGATTTCAATATTTATTTTCATTTTTATATATATTGTTTTATTTATACATATATATGTACATATACATAATACACATAATATCATAAAATTATCGCTATAAAATTTTAATTATGTTATACAACGTTTAAAAAAATTTTATAATAAATTATTTTTTATTACGTATATAATTGAAATTACAAATAAGTAATCTTTTTTTACATTATATTAAAAAATTTTTAAATTACATTCTGAAAATTAAAATTGAATTATACTTGAAAATTTTTATTAAAATAATATGTACACTTATATTAAAAAGAAATAATAATATAAAAAATTCTTAAATTTTTAAAATTCATTTATTTAATTTCTTACTAATAATATATGCACCTTTTTATTTTATAATTAAAATATAAATCATTAATAATCAATAAAAATATCAAGTCAACATGCATATTTTCTTTATTGTGCAAATATAAATAAATCATATTTGACTAGTTTGCGCAATTAATCAATACATAAAACAAATTTGAAAAATTTATCATTAATATTGTAACAAAAAGTTCCTTTAATATTATGTTTATAGTTTATAATTTCTAAACTTGAATAATTCTAGAAAAATAACGATATATTGCTATTGTATAGATGTATACATAATATATAATATGTAAATATATAATTTTCTACCAAAATTTATAGATATTTTACAATAATTTTTTTAAAAAATATTTGTTAAGCTTTTAATTGTATTATTTTTCATGCAGAATATTAACAATTTTGAAATATTTAACTTTACTTTCTAATATTTTATATATCAGGAAGAAAATTATTAGAATAATTTTTTATAAACAGTGACAATGAGACCACTATTTTTTCACGCAGATTTGTAAATATTATATGTAAATATACCACTCATGTACATATTATTTTAAGAAATAGAAAAATAGATTGTCCTTAATCATAAATATTAATATTTGTAAGTTATTTAATATATGGTTACCTTCTTCAAGTTTGTTTGCCTTATTAAAATTTATTTGTCTTTAAAATTTTTAAAATCCTTATTTATGCTAAGGTTTGATAGGAAATTAAGTTTTACTTTTGAAGAAATTGACTATTAAAATAACTAATTAAAAATAAGTAATTCATTTTAATTTTAATTTTACATCAGTAATACGAATCAGTCTCTTCTCCTAATAAGGCCTTTGAAATCTTTTCAATACTTTCAAGTAGATACAAGATATAAAAAATTATTTTTCATTTATAATACAAACAAAGTTTAAAACTCTTTCAAACATACTCAGTTTTTTAAGCATTAATAAAATACATAATTGACAAAGAAACTGATATATAACATTTACATTATGTTATATAATATAATTTAATGTAATAAATTTTGAAAGATAATGAAACTGATAAATGGAATGTCATCATTATGTACATGAGTTCTTAAGTATAAAATATAAGCTCAGGAATTTGCCCTTCATCAGAAGACGTCCCATTATTATCTCCTGTTTCAATACTAAATTCAAATTTAACTTTCCCATTTCCTGAATCACTATCTACCATAGCTGTTTTTAAGCCCTTACTTCCATAATGTGAATAAGGACCCTAAAACAAGTATAAAATAATAACAAAAATTGAATATATAAATAAACTAAAATTATATAATAACACAAACCTTAAAAGTTGCTGATGCAGTATAAATCGTATTTGGTAGAATTTCCGCTAATTCTTTAAACATTAAGCGATAAGTATATTTTGAACCATCACAACTAAAATTTGTTGAATTTGTAGCAATCACTTTTCCAGAAGCAGTATGTATTAATTCAATTAATACTTCATATATTGCTGGGCCATGTATGCTACCATAGACTCCATAGCCAATAAGAAATATGCGTCGATCAACACTAAATCTAATAAAATAAAAATAAAAAATTATATTATATAAAAATATTATAAACATGGAACTTTTTACATTTTATCTTCACAATCACCTTATACGGTCACTTGTTCCATTATATCCCCACCCACTTTTAGTATGTTGAAATCTGCATACAGTTTGTTCTTTACCAGTCATGCAACAGCGTGGCATTGTTTGAAATCCTACTACTGGTTTTGGATTTAATATAAAGTATGAAAACAAAGAAAGAACCTAAAACATATAATTTCTGAATAAATAATTTTATAAATATATATATAAGATATATATTGAATAATAGAATTAATTTTAAAACCTCTGAATAATTAAGAAGTCCAGATTGTGCTGGGCCAGCTGTAAATTCTTCCTTTGACATCAAAGGAAAACGAATCAATGAAAAAGCATTACCCAAGACAAAACGTTGGTTTTCTGGAGTAACTGGTAAACGGTGTCTTATACATTCTGCTTCTGACCATCTATTTAAAATGAAAAATGAATTACACATATATAAATTAAATATTATATATTTTTTATATATTTTTTCATATATATTCATATATTACATGAAAAGTAATATCATATTAAAATATTATATTTATATACCTTAAAACTGCTTGAAATATTTTAGATTCTCTAACACGAAGAGTGTCTCTTTCCAAAACAATTTTCAATGTATCAATATCAATATCTGTGAATCCATCAGCATTCAAAGCTTCTGTAGTAAATCTGTCTATAGTATCCAAACATACTGCAGCCAATTGTGGCTCATCAAAAAGACGAGCTTGTGTTAAAAGAAGAAATGCATTATCACTGGTTAAATTATTTTTTAAATAATCTACACAATGCTTTTCTAAAGCAGACACTGCATATTTTTTAGCTGTATATAATGTTGTCATTACAGTTTCCGGATCTATTTGTATTTCATCTGTATATAAAAAAAGGAGTACTGCCAAAAAAGCAGCAGGTTCTACATCAGGTACTTCTATTTCTGAAGAAGCTGTAGCAAGTGTTCCATTAAACATTGCATCAAAAACTGCACTTCCAGAAGATAAGACTAGTTTATGAGCTGGTATACGCTGCTTTTGTGATCCTCTTCCTACTATAAAGCTCACATCTGATAATATTTCATTATTGAAAAGAAAAACAATTCTTTCACGCATTGTTGCCTTTGTACCTTGCCAATTATAAGCTACTGTTGCTTGACCATTTGTAGATGTATTTTCCAAAGCAACAGTATCTTGAGATCTTCCTTCCAAATGTAATGTATTTGCTACATTTGTTGGAGGCCTACTAAAAAATTTATTAAAAATATATCAATAGAATAATAAAAATAATATATACATAAACATATATTTTAATTGTAATTATAATCAAAAACTTACTATTTTTTTTACAATTAATAAACTAAATACAATTAATAAACAGTTATTAAAACAATAATAACAATTATTAATAATATTAATATACAATTTAAATACTTACTTATCACCATTTAAAGGTGAAGATTCTCCTCTTGCTGTTGATGAAGTTGGTTGATCTTCATCGCAAACAAAATTAAGCGCACGTCTGGCACGTGAAAGAATAACATTGCTAATGGGTTGAATATTTCGTACAGGTTCTGAAGACGAATCTCCAGATATAGTAAAATTCACATTTTGTTGCGGTTCATCACCGTCTTCTTGACCTAAGCGTAAATTATGCAGTCTCGACACAACAGTTGGCACATCACTCAAGGAAGCTTCCGAAGACATTTTTACACAATCAAATATAATATTTTTTGACGTATTGCTCTTTTTCATTAAATTATTGCAAATCGTGTCAACAAAAACGGCACGATTGCTTGCATTACTTTATTCGTTTTGTTGAGTTCATTTAATATTCCGCACGTACGAATATTAAACAATTCAACGTAGTAAAACTAAAATAAATTGATGAAAAATATAAATTTCATTTTAAAAGGAATCTTTTCACCTGTTTTAGCAGCAGGTGCCACCCGAAATACCTACATGCGTGTATTTTCGTAAATGGCACTCAAAATGTTTTCTGAAATTAATTGTTCTTGCCATAGAGTATATATATTGTAGTTATTACCATAGACAAGAAATAAAATACAATATTAATACATAATGATTCTGTATCACAAAATTTGATTAAATTTTAATTTAAGATACTAAAAATTTTTAATATTATGTTTTTATATTCTATAAAATTCAAAAATAACATTATTGAAATTTAAAAATATTATATTTAAAATTATATGTTTTTTCATGAATTACAAACACCATATTGGATTTTTTTAACTTAATTAAATGGTAGTTATCAATGCGCGCTAAATTTAAATTAATTTTCGGTTAAAAAATTATTAGATAACGATCATTTTATAAATGGAATACAATAGGATAAACTTTGAATACCATTCAGCATTTGCATCCACAAATAAGGTAGAACAATCTTTTCATTTTGTAGGACTTTGTATTAACCAAAATGATATATCAATTGTTTAAAAAAATATAGATAATTTATAATGTAAAATTAACAAACGTAAAAAGATCGTTTCGTTTTCTAAGAATGATTATTATTGTTTTTTGCATGTTATTCAAAATTCTCTCATATATCCTTGTTCATTTTGCAAATATTCTAGAATGCACATATTACGTAAAAAACATTTATTCGTAAAAAAACTTCTCGTAAGAAAATCTTCTTATATTCGATTCATGATATATTAATGATCACTATTTATGTAGTTTTTGATCACTTTTCAATTTATCATACTGGACAAATTTTCTGACATTATTCTTTTATAGGTTTGTAAAAATCATTTGTTTAAATCCTATCATCGACTGATGTCTTACATCGAAACAATCATTAGAATATATATTAGAACATATATTAGAATACATTAGGTTTTACGAAATCATTATCCTTGAAATATTTATAAAAAAGATAATATTTAAATTTTTTTATCAAAAATTAAAACATTATAGTTTTAAAGTGAAAATTCAGTAGTTTTAAAGTGTTCATTCAGTATTTCATCTGTGATCACAAGCCAAGAACAAATAAACAAATAAAATTAGAAGACGAATAAATAACGAGAAGAAAAAAGATAAAAATTAGGAAATCAAAGTCATTTCTTTAATAAATGAAACAATATAAAAAACAAAAAATAAATAATAAAAAAAGAATAAAAATAAGAAATTAATTGTGTATACTATTTTACCAATTATCATTTTATTTAAAAAGTAGAATAGGAATAGAATCTCTAAAGTAAAATAGAAGATAGATAATAATTGAAGAATTCTTAAGTATTTTTAGAAACATGTGTTTGATTTTTGTATTTAAAAAATGATATTCAATTTCTTTCAATTTTTATTTTATTTTATTATTTTTGGCATTTGAGAAATAGTACTGATAATTCATTTTCATTTTATTATTATTTTTCTTATTATTTGTTATTCTTTTAAATCTTTTATTTTTGTTCTTCTGATTCTGAAGATAGTATTGATTCAATAATTTTTCTTTATCTCTATTCTTCTTCTATTTATTTGTTTTCCTTCTATAAAATCTATACTCTTATATATACATAATATATATTGTAGAATAAAATTTTTTATTTATTTTAAGTAAAATTATAAATTTCTTATTTTTATAATAAAGTTATAATTTAATGATTTAATGTTCTTATACATATAAAAAATATATAAGAAAATATTATACATATAAGAAAATATTTCACAACAAATTTTTTCTAAAAATATTTAAGAAATTTATTTTGATAGAATTATTCAAAGATTTAATAATTAGATTTTTTTTTTAAATTTTATGTAAAAGTGGAATAAATTTGTTCTTTCTTTGTCTGTAATTATTTATATTAAAATAATTTTAGCAATATCATTAATTACAATTTTTAACAATTAATATTTTATTGCTATAACTATATTTTATATTTAAATTCATGCATGTGCTTAGGAACTATTATTACAAATAATAACACTATAGTATTTTGTATCATATTTTATATTTAATTTTATAAATAAAAAATAATAAAATATTTTTAATATTTTAAAATTATTAAAATAAATAAAATATTTTTACAATTATTACTATTAATTTTTTCCAATTTTTTAAAAATATTTTTATCTAAAATTAACTATTGTTAATTATTATTTGTTTTAATTATATATGTATATAATTCAATAATTATATATTATTATATAAATTACATTACAATATGTATATTATAATGTACAATAAATATACATATATATTTCCTCTTAGATTCAAATTTTTTAAACTTTCTAAATTAGGCCATATAGATATGAAAATTTCATATAACTTATATATCATCAATTACGTCTGATTTAGGATATACTAAAAATTGTTGAGACGTAATTCATAAACAGCAAGTTTATTAAACATTTTGTAAGTATACAAAACACTTACATATAGTATAATTTTTGTGAAAAAGCAGAGTATGGACATAAAGAATTTATATATATAACAAAATAAGTCTAATATTGAAAGAATGATATTTTTAGAACTGAGTTTTAGACATTATGATTTATTTTATTTGTATTTATTAATCCCAACTTTTTACACGCAATTCAGGATCTAAAATACTCCAATTTGGTGAATGCTTTTCATTAGATAACCAATTAAAGTCATCAACACAATTCCAGTTATTTATTTTTGGATCAAGTCCAGCTAAATTAAAATGATTTGCTTGATCTTCATAAGACCAATTATAAGGTGCTACACATATTTTTGTACAATCTTCTATAATTGACCTACTTGTAACATGTATATAAATAGTACAATCTGTTGAAGAATGTAGTCGAAGTTGTTGACATGCAAAAGCAAATACACATTCATTACAATCATGTGCAAATACAGATGATGTTACGGGTCCAACTAATACAGTACACTGTTTTAAGTTTACCATGTGTAAAGTACTAGGTGTGCCATAAATTCGTATTGTACATCGAATTAAATCAGAAAGTAAAATATCATTTTTATTCACATTTTCAGCATCCAAAACTAATTGTTCATTAACTTTTCCCAATAGCATACATGCACTATCTCCATATTTACTTGATAATTTATGATTCTGCTTTGCAGAACCATTTACAATTCCTTCTGAAATTTTTAAATCTTTTAAACCATCTGTCATATCATGTGTCTTATCAGATGTCTTTTTCACAACTCTTCGATTTTTGAAACCAAATTTCTTCTTAGGTAATAATTTTATTTCTAAATCAGAAGCTTCATTTTCTAATAATTGTAAGTTTTCTTGTGCTCTTCTAATATCATAAACTTTTAAAAACATTTTTGATTGAGATAAATAATTTTTAAGCATTTGAATTTCCTTATTTATTTTATCAAATATTCCAGGAAGAGCTGATATGGGAGCATTAGATGCATCATCTAACATATCTTTAATTTGTTTACATGATGAATAAAATGTATCTTTAAAATAACTGCTTTGTTCAGATTCAACAGCTAAAGATTGCCTCTCTTCTCTTCGTCTTTCAATAACATTTTTTCTTTCACGATCTCTTTTAGTAATACGATCTGGTAAACTACCTTCTATTAGAGGAGGAGAATCCATATTGCACTTTCAATGTTGTTTTTTCTTTTTTAAATTATATTTTGTATAACATTCAACTTTGAATATTTATTATTTTCAATGAAAAATTTATCTTCATTAATAGGTTATTTTAGTAAATTTAAAATATTTAAAGGCTTTTACATAAAAACTGAAAAACGTAAAAAAAAATTCACAATTAATTTATATTAATAAACATACAATTATCATATAAAACAGCATTTAACACATCAAGTTAATAAAATATAAATATAAATAAAAATTATTTATATAATTTTAATATATTTTATTAAATAATTTATCAAAATAATATACAATTTTTTAAAAAATATAAAAATAATAAATTTAAAAATAATTTTATAAAATGTTAAACATGAATAAATATAAAATTAAGCATGAACAAATCTGTCAAATATACTCTATATATGATATTTATATCAAAGTATACAAATACCTGTCTTTAAGAATCAATCTGTGAAGAATATGTTAAACCATCACTACCTATTAAAATTGATGAAAGTTTTACAAACTTCATAAAATTTAACTTTCATTTTGTTGCCACAGTGTGAGATCTGTTAATTTGGTGCTTTCGTTATATATTTTTTCTTCCAGTTTGTAATAACCTTCTAGTAGCATTGGAAATTTTTTATGAACATAATATCTGCAATCTAATATTTATGATATTCATTTCAATAATTTTCTAAAGTTATTTATAAAAATTTAATCAATTGTAAATTGTTGTATAATATAATACATTATTTTATAATAGTATGAATAAAGTTTCAATAAAATACACAAAAATTATATTATGATCATTCATAATGTTTTTCGTATGTCTTTTTTACATGTTTTCTTATGTTTTTTATAATAGTTATTATTACTTGTTACAATATCTAGTGTAAATAACCTATAGTGTGAAAATATTATGTCAAAATATATAGCTTATTTACCGGTAACATATAACTTACCTTGAGATGTATGTAAAAAATGCCAAACTATTGAAGATCCAAAGAAACATACAGTTTCAGCACAAATAATTATTCTTATTAAATTTTTCTTCTTTGGATACTTGTGAAGCATACTAGCTAACTATACGATTTCCTAAAATGGAAATTATCAATACGGCAAAGAACGATGTATTTCTCGAGGTATCGAGGGATAGTTATTTCGATAGGAACAACTAAAGCAATCTTACATGTTTTACCCTCGTTATGCAACACTCGAAAGAACAATTATTTTGTTCGATATATTTTTTCGATATAAATAGCGGAAAATTTAAAGATACGTAAATACCTATTATATTAATAATATATAGGTGATAGTAAAATAAATGTTAGAGTAATTATTTATAAGAAAATTATTTTTTATAATAACTATGTCTTTTATTATGCGATAGGTATAAAGCTATATGCCAATTTTATATTGATATATTAAAGAATTTTATTATAATCAAATATACAGCAAGAGACATATAAGATCGCAATCTAAAATATCTCCATTATTTTTAGTGGCATGAAAAATATTTAAAGGAGGAATATTTAATTTAAAGAGACAAATGATACAATAATTAGTTTTTAATGTCATAGGAGATAGATTTAATTATAAATAAAATATATTTAGGACGGAAAAATTTAAAATATAATATAGTTTTTGTCTTATAAATATATCTTTATATATATATTTGAACTTTAAAATACACGAATTTATTTTAAAATATTTAAATTTGAGAAATAGAGAAAAATACAAATATATAATTTTTATGATTATTTGCTCCTTGTTTGATTATCGATTAAAATTTCTTTAAATCCTCCTTTAAAAATTTTTGTTCATTACCAAAAATAGTGTTCCTATCTTAAGTGACTTGTCTTATTTAACTAATAGTAGTAATATTCTACTTATTTTTTATATCTGCTTGTCTAATAATAACGATATCATGAAATCGATCATAAACTTATCAACAAGGAATAATTTACAATATAAAATATTGTTAATTCTTATATTTGTAATTAAATAAGTATAATAGGGAAATTGACAGTATGTAAAATTTATTTTGCCTTATTTAGGCCTTTTAAAAAAAAATGTTTTATTTTAATATATGTATATGGTATATACATATATTACGGATATTAAATATATGTATATGGTATATTTTTAAATTTAATATCGTGTATCATACATAGTTTATTCTTTTATATTTCACTATGAAAATATATAAATAAATTTGAAAACATTAATTGAGAATAATATATTATAATAAACTTTTTCCATAACATAACATTTTATGTATAAAATAGCGATATAATTTAATAGTGTACAGATTATGTTTGAAAGTGCAGAGCATTGTATCTATGGAAATAGCCTAATTTAAAGACTGTAGAAGAATATTTATTGTACAGCTTTTCATATATAAGCATAGACAAAGTAGTGTGAAATGTGTTTTTAAAAAATCATTAAAAGTGCACCTGCAATTAGTATTTGTTATATATATAGCAATAAAAAAATAATTGTCAAGATAACTTTTCTTATGATTTGTACAGGAAATGATGTAATTTCTTTTTATTTAATTCTCTTATATATCAAGTATTCAAAGTTAAGCACAAATTCTGTATCAAAATTTTGTTTACTTTTAACATTATTAATGCAAAATTATGATATTAACCTATTATTAAATTTATTACAATTTTTTAAATCTATAATAGTAATTAATAGAGTAATATCTTAGTAAAATAACTTGTTATACGATGTAGGTTATATTTTAAAAGATTATGAAGTACATATTCGTTTCTAAAAATAAGAAATGTCTGTTATTCGAAAAATAGAAAATATTCGTTATTATACATACTATGCATAAACAAATTCTTATTCACATATCTATCCGACTCTTTAAAGTCTAGTTTATTTAAAATACTTTGGATAAATTATAAGTAACACAAACAATTAATTCACACATTGGTCTCAAATCATACAATTAACATCTAATATTACGCACTTTAATATAACATATCTATATTAGATATTTTAAGAACAAACACACACTGCTATTATAACAAACGGCAGTTTTTTGCATAAAACCATATATTTATCATTTTATGTACATACGAAATAAGAAACTAAAATCTAAAAATTTAAGAAATACAAGATAATAATGTACATAAAGTTTCATCAACAAGTTTTCTTGATAAAATAAATTGATTGCAAATCTAAATATAATAGCTGTTTTAACAAACAATTTTCATTGCACTGCAAAAACGCAAATTTGTATGAAGATATTATTAGTTTATACTTATGTGTTATTATATTTTACTTAATTTTGTTAAAATTTCAATACATGGTCCAACACAAGATAATACTATTCAAAAAATAGTTATTTTGAATTATTCATTTTATATTTTCTATTATAAATTAAATCTTAAAAAAACTTTTTTTTTACATTGCAAGATTCTATGAAACATTTTTGCCCCTTATTTACATAAAATAATTTAAATGATTAACTTTTTATACAAATTTCTATATTTAATTTGTCAAACATGGCATCTGGTATATCAAGTGTCATAAATATAGAAAAGAAGAATTTTAATAATTTCTTTATTGTTTAAAAAAGCTATATTTATAGAAATATTTGACAACAAATATAAAAATACTTAATCATTAGAGACAATTTATTATCATTTTATAAATATTGCAAATAATTGAAAAGAAAAAATATTATTTATGACTAAGATTTATATTAAATTTGAATGTTATTTATAATTAAATGAAATCAATTACTTATTATTTGTTTCATATTGCAAATTATATCAAATTATGAAAAAATTCTGAAAACTTTCAATTAGTGTTTATAAAGTGCTAAGGCACCACAGGTAAATGCAAATGATAATAGTGATTAGTATTACATTATCTTACTACAATTTTAGGGGCGTAAACTACAGACATTTCCTTCGCATGTAAACTTCTCTTGTAATGTAAACATTTTTATATTATCTGTTGTGAATGCATTTGTACGCATATACTCTATATCTTCTGATACTGTGAGACCTCCAGTTTGGTTTTTATTATTTATCAAATTTATATTTATTCAACAAAGGAAAAACAAAAAAAAAATATAATTTGTATTTCATACATTTTTTTTTTATATTTATTCATGAAGAAGTCACTTAAGAAAAATAACCAGTACAATTTGCTATGAATAAAACAAAAATTTACATGTCATGTAAAAGCATAAAAACATAAAAGATAATAAAAATGCTATAATGTTTAATATATTCGAAACAACAATTATTCATAGCAATTTAGTTTTGATTTTTGATTATAATTTAAAAACATTATTTTAACTATAAAAAACAATTATCATTTCTTTGCAATAATAAAATTTAAAATACTATAGTAATGAATGAAATGCGGCATATAGAGATACTTGAGCTATATTAAGGAACTAATGCTTTAAAATAAATGTTCAAAATTTATGTATACCGATGTTATATTAAAATTTTTATGAACGTGAAAATATTAAGGCAAATGTAATATTTATAAATTTTTGATACCCAGTACATATATTTTAATAATATAAAATCACAGTACTGAATAAAGGTACTAATATCAGGATTCATGCTCAACTTTCAAATCCAGTTTATTTTATTTATATTAAAATCGTTAAATTTGTGAATTTCCGATTAATCTCGCATCAAACTGTACGTCTCATAACAGAGTTCAAATTGTTTATAAACTTTATAATTTATCTCACTTAGTCTCATTAAATTATTTACTGAAATTAAATTTCTCTTCATATATTTATATAATTTCTACATTTTTTATCATGTTTTACGACATCTGTATACAATTTGAAACATACAATATTAATGTAAGATGGCAGTTACATATATAGTGAAAAACGAGAATAGTATCACCTTCATCAATGATTAAAAAAATTAATTAGAAATTCATTAAGCATGAAATCGTTATTTACAACTTTTTTATTTTTAGAAAGATTAAATTTGACACAGTTCTGTCAAAACAAGATTTTTTTATAATGATCTCGCAAAATCACAAATTTTATCTTGTTGCAACGTTTTTTACTTTGTTTAATGCTTGTTATTGCACGTTAATTTTTCTTTTTACATCAATGCTACGACGGAATTTGATGAATTTCTATTTTGTCATAACTTATATTTACCAAGATATTATGCTGTTCTTCGTTTTTAAGAGTTTACATTATTATTTTATATTGATAAATCGTTCAAATTTAATTTTGACAAACAAATAAATCATAAGATTTCATATAAAATCTGTTAATAAGGAAAAAATTGATTTTCAAATAACACCTGATCATTAGTTGTTTAATCAATCAGCAGATGATGCTAACACATCTCTCATTTACTCTCAATAGTAGTCATTTACGCAGACTTACAGTAATGAGGCATAAAGAGATAGCTGCTGGGGGCAGGAAAGAGTCAATATGACGATCAATATGACAGTCTTTTGAACACCATGAGGTCATGGGAACACTGATATACTGTAGTACGCTACGATACCATTTCATGCCATCCACTACCATTTGAGGAGTTGCTTTCTAATGGAACTAAAATTTAAATAAACAATTTATATAAATTCGTAAAATATTTGACATTTAAGAAAATTATGATATTTTTGTATTTATAAAAATTTTATTAAGTTTACATATTTTTATATATTTTTGTATATAAAAAAATTGTATATTTAAAAGAGTTTAATAAACTTACCAGTCTTGTCACTATCAACTTTTTCTGGAGATGATGATCTCGGTCCCCATATTCTCACTGTACAGTCATCTGATACTGAAGCCATCATTTGATGATATACAGGATTCCATGAAACACAATTTACTGTTCTACTATGTCCTGTTAGAATTGCTATAGGTAATTCTCTTTTGATATGCCACACATATACTTTAGTATCTATAATAGAATTTAATATAAATTTGTATATAATATAACTTTAATTTCAAAAATAAAATATTTTTGTCAAATAAATTACCTTCACTACCAGATGCAATAAAATCTTGATTTACACCACCAAAACAACTATGGATTGTGAAATGTCCTTGAGTAACTCCTTGAAAACGTCTTACTAAACATCTATCTTGTAAATCCCAAAGATGTACACCCTGATTGGCTACATTAAGAAGCGCAAGTCGATCTGCTTTATTTACACTAAAGGACATCAGAGGATGATCTTCTTGTAATCTATAATATTAAATAGTTGAATATAATATGATTTTCATATTATATAAAAAAAATTATATATAAATTATATATATATATAATTATAATTTTACATTGTAAAGTCACATAATTCGTCAAAATTATATCCCCGAATTCGATGATGCGAATCAGCAGCAAGAACTGTTTTTCCATCATTTTTACACCATAAACATTTTACTCTAACTCCTTCCCATGATTCTGAGACATTTCCTTCTATATCCTAAAATTTTATATTCAAATATTTAATATTCTATTTATTTCATTATTGAAAACTATTATAAAAAATGATATGTTACAAATTGATAAAATTGCCCGCGAAGTCCTCCTGCTACAAATTTACGTGAATCAGGATACCAAGCACAAGCTGTAAGTGAATCATCAGTACTTTGAGTTACTGTTGCACGTAGTTCATAATCAGGTGGATCAATACTCCAAAGCCAAAGCTCTGGGCAATCTTCAGGACCACATGCAATTAAAAGACTACTATCGGGACTCCAAGCAATTAATGCTACTCCATAAGTATGGCCTTCTAATGTTTTTCTATGAGTTACTCTCAATGTTTCCTGTCATTAATAGAAAATTATTAGTTATTTAATAAAAAATTATTATTTCATTGTAATTAATAATTTACATACTGGATCAACATCCCAAATAATTACTGTCATATCCTTAGAACCTGTAGCAAGTTTACGACCATCAGGAGAAAATTTACAATACCACACTTCATCACAATGATTATTGAGCACCTGTATAGTATGGCACGGGAATTGTTCTTTACTACAGCTGTGATCCACAAGCAGCGACACATTTTCTAAACTTGTCTAATTTATAACAGACATTGATCATAATTATATTAACAATAGAATAGTTGACTATATAATATAAATTTAATAAAAATTTAAAAAAATTAATAAAATAATTTATTTATAGTTTTATTAATATTCAAAAATATTTAATTAATATTCAAAAATCAATGATATATGTAAATATATATAAAATTTTCATATATTCAAACATCTTTAGAAGAATAATTTTTTTAGAGATTAAAATAAATAAAAAAATTAAGTTTGCGTTAGACGCGAAAGAAAGAGTAAGACTATTTATCATTTTATATCATTATTTTGCTATCTCATTTTTCTTTTATTTAATGTAAATTTTAATTGTTTATAACTTAATAAATAAATCTCAATCAATTTTTGTTTGCCAATTTTTATATTTATTTTAAATTGATCTTGATCTTCTACAAGTGTGCAATGAACATATCAATTTTGTATATATTTTTATACAATATCATATCATTTTATTACTTATATATATATATATATATATATATATTATAAATAATGTATCTTATAATAACAAATATAAATATATTTTAATATAATTAAAATAATAAAATGATATAATATTATGTAAGAATAAAAGAAATAAAGAAAGTTATATAAGTTTTAAAAATTATAATGCAAATATTTTTACCTGAGTATGTGTTACATGGTATGTACACTGTTGATTTTGCATTTCCACAGCTTGGCACAAAAGAGAATGAAGGCGTCGTGGTGGTAACATAATGGAGGGTGGCAGATATTTCTGTAGTCTGTCCATTAAAGCAGCCCTCGAGACTGCACCTTTGCCATCCCAGCCTGCACGTGTCTGTTAACAAGTGTCTATTTGCTAGTGATCAAATTTTCAGTAACAGGTTAGTTTCAGAATATTTTTATATCTATACAAAATTCAATATCTTTGAATATTTATTAGTATATAAATATTGCAATAAAATATTTAATATTTATTTCATTATATATATGTTTAAATTGGAATATTATTAAAAAAATGTATAATAAAATGTATATAATATATATACATGTATATATGTATATACATGTATATATATATATATATATATATATATATATGTAAATATATATAATACCTGTAATTCATCACGTCCACTGCACATCATAAATGCAGACAACTGATGCACACGACCTGTATTATGCCCTAAAGGTGTGAGTTCGTTGCGTAAAACATGCAATGCTTCCATTACTAGTCCTTCTTCCAAATATTCTAAATATTTTTGTTCCAGTAATAAGAATTTCATCTCCTATAAATGAAAAGTATTAATGAGATATGTGTATATATGTGTATATATATATATATATATATATAAAATTATATTTGATAGACTTAATTTGATATTTACTATTAAACTTTGATTAGCTCCATTTAAAAATGTTTTAAGTTCACTAAGATCGTGTTCTGCCTTTGTCCAGTCTCCATCCATAACATGTTGTCTAAATTTTGCAGCAGCTGGATGATCTAGACGACAACCTGATTCTTGCATGAGAAGATCAGCTGTACGACTGAAAAAGATGTTTCATATTTTCAATTCATTATAGAGAAAGATTATTTAACTTTATTATATTTTTATTTAAAATTTAAGAAAACTTTGTAAATATCTATAATTTTTTTATATAGCATTATGATCTAAATTAAACATAATAAAACAATAAAAATAATGATGATGCTAATAACAATAATCTATTAGGGATAAACTTATGTTCATCATAATGTATTTGCTTCTTTTTTAATGCCTACATTATAAAGCAAATATAACTTGCAGATACTGCTGACTATATTTCAAGATTCTATAATTAGCTTTCTCCCACCACAGAGTATGCAGTCCAGATAGGTTGTGATACAATACTTCTGATAAATGCATGCATACAAAGAAAATTGAACAAACAAAGAAAATCTTCAAGATCTATTATAATAAAAGAAGAAATCTACTAAATTTAATCACTTTAACGTAAATTTAATACTTGATATTCAGTTACTAGCATATGAACTTTATAAATTCTAATCGTAATACACAAAAAATATATATTTTGTTTCTTTAAAATGATTCTTTATTACTAAAATTCAGCTAAATAAAAATCAAATTATGAGATACATACTTAAGTCCAACTGTCTTCAAATGTTGTCCAATGAGTCTCACAATATCTTGATTGGTTTTGTCCATTATTTTCGGCGGTCCCAAATTCTGATTTGTTTCCCCATTAACACCATTGATGTCATTATCCGATTCTGGTATCATGTTGCCATTTGCATGAGGTCCACCAGAGTCAGCTGTAGAGCCATTCTGCTGTAGCCCGGAGGAAATGCCACCGTTTGATGTCTGCTGTTGCATTATGCTGTCATGCACACGGAAATGTTACCCGTGATGGCAATAGTAGTCCAGAATATTAACAAGCATGTGTACTAATTGGTACATTCTATCTTGACTTAAGTATCTCTTCTTTTTTTTATTGCAAAAACTTTAAAATGCTATGTTTGTGTATAAAAGATCTATGACTATTCGATGGAAGGATTTCAAGAAATAAGAAAACCGCTTGATAGACAGCACATATGAAAGGAATCCGACGTCGATACGTCTTGAGATTCTGCAAGGAAGAAGATACACGTGAGAGCGTCATTACGAAGGGGGTAAGCCCCTTCGTTTGTTGACTACGCGCTCGCGATGATCTAGGGCCCTGATTGAGTTACCGATAGTTTTCCATCTCAGGATCGGTGTGGTGCTCGTCCGCTGGTCGTAGAGTAGTCGGGAGAGAACTACGAGACCTTTTGCACGGTGGCGGAGCGAGTCCACCGTCGTCTGACTCGCTGCTCGAGGCCAGGCTTATGCGCGTACCGCCCCGTTTTTCACACGATTATTGTCCCTAAGATCGTTGGTGGGGCTGGGGCTGGAGCACGCACGCAGCCACGGTTGCGTTGTACAGAAAACTCGTAGCCTCCCCCCTTTTTTTCCGCTTGTCTTCCTGACTAATACGTATGCCGTTTATCCCGTCGGACTTGATGCCCGACGATGAGAAAACGAAGAAAAACAGAATTCTTGCACGCCTGCCAAAACGGATACGAACAATGACTGCTACACAGCTGATACTTGTTTAGATCGTCGTTTACGTCACACTGTGATCTTTGCAGATAGTTCCGCTGACCATGGCGCCCGCTATGTCCGCTCAGAAACGTTGATTTTCTAAGCTTATAAAATCTCTACTTACAATTATTACTGTAAGATGGCAGCACGTACCTGTTAAAATATTATGTAGCGGGTAATTTAATTTATTTTTAAGAAATTTTATTCGAAAAAAATTTTAAGTATCAATTTAATTATTTATACATACAAAAAAAATGAATATATAATAATTTAATATTGTTTTATTTTTTATTAATTCATTACATATTGTAATCCCTTTTTTATTTACATAAATAAAGATAAATATATATATTTATTTTTATTTCCTAATAGAAATTAAAGAAAAATTTTATGATTTATTTGAATAACTTAAAAATCTTTAAAATTATCATAAAAATAAATCTATTATTAATTTATTATTAAACAAATATATTATAATAAATTTTATTAAATTAATTAACTATAATACTAAAAAATTGTATAAAAAAATTTCAAGAGATTATATTTCTTTTTTATTAACATATATATATATATATAAAATAAAAAATAAATATAATAAAACATTTATACAAAAATATTATTAATTATTTATATTAAATGTTCTAATTTACTTGACAATAAAAAAAGATTTCAATTATAAAATGTTATAAATATTTAAAATAAATTTGACATATACATATAATAATTTCAACCAATTTATTTAAAAAAAATTATTTTTACAATAAATTTAATCTATGCATATAAAAAAATTATATAAATCTTCGAAATTTAAATACGATTTTTATATAATTTTGTTATATATTATATTATCAGCACATTTCAATAATTTATATAATTCGCGAGTTTTATAAGTTGATTTGACATTGTGAGGTTAGTTTGTCGATTATGAGAAGTCGGCGTGTGCCGCCAGTCAGTCAGTCGCCGGCCGCCGGTGAAGTATGTTGTGTTGGTGTTTTGCTGCATCTTATAAGTTTCGTTTCACAAAACTGTGTCCTAAATTTCTGTAAGGTTACATCTATTATAATTACCAATAAAGTTAACAAATTTTATAGAAATTAAAATGTAGTAACGTTAGAATGGTTTTTCTGCGGTTCGATTAACGTGTGAAAAAGAAAGAAGAATTCGTTTTATTCGCTTCGAAGTTCACGTGAGATTACTGAATTTCGTGTATGCGGCGGCAAACGTGCGATTTGTGTTGTGCTGTGCATTTTATAGTATCTTTACACAAAAGTGTTTATTCATTACGACCACCTGTTACGCGTCTAAAACAGGCTTCTTTGTGTTACGTTGGATTAATCGGATTACGTGCATCATCGGAATGTTCTTTATGCTCAGATAAATCATTAGGAACGGAAAGAAGAGGTAATCATTTTCTCATATTTTATATTTAAATCATAAAATTAAATGTTTTGTAATTTTTATTATACAATTTCATATTTAAATATTTAAATATATGATGATCTTTTCGAATCCTTAATTGGCAGTATGTTTAAATATTAGGACGCCATTTCAAAAGCGCGGGTAATGAAACTGGAATAATTTTAAAACATAATTTGTATAGAATGTATCAATTTTGATGTGTGTTTCTTGTTTATTAATGAAATACTCATAATTAAATAATTATTTTCTAAATTTGAACATTCGAGTATATACAATATTTGCAAATATTATGTATCCTTATATTTATTTATAAAATTTGATTATTATTTTATTCATTTTTTATAATTAAACAAAAATATCAACACGATTCAATAATTTTCCAAATTTACAAATTTATTTGATCATATTAGCAGATTTTGAAATAATAATTTTATTGTAAAACAAATTGTAAAAAGTATACATACATATGATATTCATAAAGAACTTTTTATAGCCGATATTTATAAATGTATAAGTCTATATATGCATATTTTAATGACTGCGATGACATTGCCATACGAATAAAATAAGTAGAACAATTGTAGTTGAATTGACAAGATAAGATTGAAGAAAAAAATATATAATAATGACAATTGTTTCTGAAGTTTCAAACAATTAATAATATAAAAATTCAAATTGCTATTCAAATTTAAAAATATAAAGATTTTAAACTATATTTAAAAAATTAAAGAATTCATAAATATCATATCCAAAAATGATTTAAATTATTAAAGAAAAAATCATTAATTCTTAAAATTTGTACTAAAATGGATAAAAATATATAATAAAATTTAAAAATTTATACTAATTATCAATATCAGAAATTTATATATATAATTTTAATTATCTAAGCATAATTACCATAATTAGTATAATTACCAATCGTTAAGATAACTAAGTCAAAAATGATCTAGCTATTGGACTGCAAGTTAACTACAATATTTTTTTAATTATTAATATACATTAAAATTATTAAATTTTTATAATTCAAATAATATTCGAAATACTTTAAAACATCTTGAATCTATCGCTAGTTTACGGGACGGGAAGAGGTTGTTCATGGGAGAGGGCACATTCCACTGTGAATGCGCATGCGCACATTCTGACTCGCGGCACCCGCGCATTCGACCGCGTGTAGTCAGTCATATTGTTGAGGTTAACTTCTTCTAGTTTATATTTGGAAAAAGTAATCTTGATGCAAAACGTGAATCGTATTTGAATACATCTTCAAAAAATTAGGTAAGCGTATGTATTTTTCGTTAATAATTTTCACGAAATGAAATTTATAAGTTTTTTATTTTCGAATTATGATATTAAGTTTATAATATCATGCATTTATTGCAATTAAAATAAATCATTTTTTTCTTATTAAAAATGAATAATATATATATATATATATATTATTCATGAATGCGTATCTTTATTTTATTTTTAATTATTGTAAAATAATTTTTTTCATAATTTTAAATAACAATTAACATTGATGAAATATAATTATAAAATAAATTTAATATTAAAAAATATTATATTGAATATGATTTTGATTACAATTTTTATATATATATCATGATTCTTTTATGTTTTCAAAATTATTAATCATTTTTCTTTCTTATTTTTTATATTAATTAACTTCGCTTTCAAATAGTAATTTTAAAATTGATTTTATCTTATTTCTCTGCTATATATGTTACAAGTTAAAAATGTTTATCTTTTTGATATGTTGAATCTCTTTGTACATTCGCAATAATAAAATATTTGATTATAGGCATAGAATGGTTTTTCAATGCGGCATTCTTTTCAACTTTGGCTTGCCATATTGAATGTTAATATGTAGGAAACGAAAGCCGTGACTATCGCTATAAATTATATATAGTTGAAAGTAGTTTAAACGCAATAAAACATTCGTCATTAATCCATTTTAATAAAATATTATATATTATATATTTATTTATTTAATATTATATATTTTTGATTAGAATAAATCCATAATATTTACCATTGTCGAATCGTTATTTGTAACATTTCAATTATATTCCATATCGCATCGTTATTTCTTTCGTTTATCGATATAGATACGTAAAAAAAAAGGGAAACGTGAATATATATATATTCCTTTCGTTTAATGCAAAACCGCAGAACGCGGTATGTATTGACCAAGTGTTCACGATATCGTAATTCACGTTATTATACTACCCATGTCGAGCAACCACGTTAGTTTTGTATCTTTCGCACCACTCTCTTCTTGTTGCTTTGTGCCTTTTATGTGTTTATCCTGCGTAAATATTACCCGTGCAAAATATTTTTCGAGGCTACGTTGGAGGCCGTTGTGTGCTAGGGCAAATAATATTCAGGCACCTCTTTAGCCGACATTCGAGAGGTCGTCCAAACACTTTTTCACCTCGTACCAAAGCTGCTTGAACTATTCCAAGTATTCATGAGCTCGAAATTTTTCAAAACGCATTGGATTCAAAAACAATTTTTCTTTTTTATTATTTCAAAAAAATTTCTCTAAATTTAAATAATCTAATTTTTTTTTTTTAATTATTTGAATGAATTCGATTTTCTTATAAGTTTTAGGTTAGATTATTTATAACCTTATTTATAACCTAAAAATTATTTATAATTTTGTATAACGAATGAAATTTTGTTCTGCTTATGTAAATCTAAAGAATTTTAGACTTCTATTTAAAATTTTATCGACAATTTACATATATAATTTCATATAGAAATAATTGAATAAATTTCAAATTAATTTGTAACATAATAATGACACAATTCTTTCGGAATCAAGTCGCGAGAATAAAAAATTAATTTAAATTTTATAATTTAATATAAATATAAATATATTTTTGTATATGTATAGATATATATATATACGTATCAATTAGTTTAAGAAACAAAAATTATATATAGAATTGATCAGATATAATAATTAATGATAAATATCAAAAATGAATGAATCAAAAATTCGGATGACATTCAAAATATAATCAGAAAATATTTTATTTTTCCATTTCTTCTTGGGGAAATAACAATTCTATCTAATATGGGAGCTTGTTGAAATCTCATCTTGATTTTACGAGCAGTTTAGCCTGGAATTTATCATTTCTCTAGGATCCACTTAAAGTTCCAATCTGACGATGTTTCCTGGAACGTGTATAATAATTATGTCTGTGATTCTTTCAACATATTTTCACTTCTTCCAATTTTATTCGGTCGGAAAGAAAGTAATGATACGCTAGTCGATACTATGGTCGAAGAACAAGAGAAATTCTTTGTCCCGGAAAAAATTAGCTTGTCCATCGAGATCATAAATTTCTTCGAAACCAAATGATAATGATCATTATTTGAGAAAGCCTCGAAGGAAAATGGAATGATTTTTTTTTCTTTTGGTTTCTAAATTTTTCTTTCTTTCTTTCTTTCTTTCTTTCTTTCTTTCTTTCTTTTTTTTACAATTATTAGAATGGTATGGAAAGGCCGAATACACGTACCGAAAGTGGCCAAGAATTCCGAGCTATTTTTCTCGAGGAAATCACAAAGAATGTGGCCGAAGGTAAAACGC